TTTCTCATGGAATTTTGAATTGTGTAATCTTCTTATTGCATTCTATGATGACAAATGTATTAGATGACCAATTCATTCCCAAGATCACATCAAATTCATGCAATGATAAAACATTCAAAATTGCTACAAATTTTTTCTCGGTTATTTTAAAATATATCTGACATAAATCAATAATAGTCATTTTGGACCCATTTGACATCAAAATTTCTAAAATTATAGGTGCTTCGAAAATATTCAATCCAACTAATTTTATAAATTCCTCTAAAATGAAGGGATGTGCAGCTCCTATATCAAAGAATTTATGTGGGTCTATCTTGAATTGTTTTTATACATATAATAATTTTGTAATAATTTACATAAATATTATAATTTATTTAAAATTCCTTGTATTATTTGATTACTCATAAAAAGAAAATAAAATTTTCATAAATTAAATAGAAAACATACTTGTAATTACTTTGGGTGAACCCTAGCTTAGCATCCTTCTTAGATAATATATACACTATAGTCTAAGTGATAGGTCGACGTTGATTTGGCTTTAATGTTGATGCAATTGATTCTGTTGTTTTTTATCTGCCAAAATTTCTCTGAGATGATACAAAATTTTCTCTTTTTTCTCTTGATGATCTTTGTCATAAAGTATGACAATTCTCAGCTATATTATCATATTGATGATAGTAGAAGTAGATATTTTTTCTAAAAAGATATTCACATTTATAATATTTTTCATATTTTCTGTCTAATTGCATCCTTTAATCTAGATGAAAATCTATAATATTTTTCTTCTATAGCATGAATTAATAAAGGAGCATATTTTTTATATGGTAGTGAATTCAGCTTCATTTTGCATTACTAATCTATCTCCTTGAATCAACCTCAAGAAATTATCTTTTATTTTCCTCTTCACAGAAAGATTTACAATCTAATCTCTAAACAAATAACATGTCATCTAATATCTTCTCAATCTATAATAACAAATTTTCGGCCGCTATTGGTCATTCTATTCATTTAAACAAATGACAGCCACATATCCTAAAATAATTTTAAATTTTTATACAGTGAGAAGCTACTAATATTACTTCATGATGGCCAATATCTCTAATCCTGAACTAGTTGAGTCATTATTATTATTTGGGTTAATTCTTCAGTATTAATAGAAACAACCGATATATCTCTTTCTACATTCTCTTCAAGATAATTTTGAGTCATTGAATAAAGTAAAAACATCTAATTAAAATTCATAATATTATTATGCCAACTTTCTTAGATTTAATAATCAACCTAATAGCTCTTTCAATATAATTTATATCTTAACCTATCTCAAAAAAAAAAAAAAAATCTTAATCTATCTCTGATACCACTTTTATCACGACCCAGCCAGAGACTCGAGCTAATGAAACAGGATAAGATGGTGAGATGGATGATTAAAGTTTTTTCAATAGCATTAATACTCAATAGACTAATATGTAAAATATAATTTGTAGAGCCATTGAAATAAATTTTCTAATTTAAACAAAAAATAAACTAGTTCTTACAAATTTTCATTTAATCAATTTCTTCTATACACACGAATGCTTCTCTTCCAGACATTTAATCTACATAAGATTTACCAAAAATTTTAATTTAATAATTTGAGTTTTTCTTAATAAACTCAATAGAAAATTATAATTTATAGTAATTGCATTTAGATATGCATAGAAATAGTCATGTTAATTTGATAAACGTTTCATTTTCATTTAACATATATATATATATATATATATATATATATGAATGTAGATCGAAATTCTATTCCTTTAAATAAAATTTATTCCTTTTTTATTTTATTTATTACATGAGTATTATCAAATTTTGTCTCAACGAAGGTACAACCTTTTTTATTTCTTTTGTCATTTAATGTTCATGAGCACATTTTGTCTCTAATCAATACGATGAAGATGTGAACTATTGTATTTTCAAGCATATACCATTTCCTTTTTTATTGCTTTCCAATTATATATAATAATTCATTTTCTTTTACATGTGTATATCATTTTGCATAAACAGAGTCTATATTTGTATATATCATATTGTAACATTGATTGACTAATATTCATCTATATAATGCATAATAAAGACTCTAGAATTTAATCAGTATAAAGGCATGATACAGTGTCAAATTATTTCATTGAAATAAAATAGAAAAAAGTTATAACTACTATAAAAAAAATGTAATCACCCACTTCACTGCTTTAATATGATCTTCTGACCACCATCGCTCGACCATGAACCGTGAAACATCATTGCTCAACTACAGTCTTTCAACCTCTATCCCACATCGACTATGGTCCTTCAACCAATATTGTCGGCTATAATCCTCCAACCACTATTGGATGAGTACATTCCCTTTGACCTCCGTCACCCAAATAAATTCATTTGGACGACCATTGCCATATACATCTCCATGAATTCCATTATCTAACTATAGTCATTTCGACCTTCATCGCTAGACTACAGTCATATGAGCCTTCGTCATGTGACTACAACCTTTCCACCATCGACCGACTATAGTTATTCCAACCTCAGTCACCCATGAACAATGATCCTTTGATCATAATCACCTAATTATAGTCCTCCAACCACTATCACCCGAATATTATCCTTCGAACACTAGCGCTTAAGTATGGTTTCCATCGACCTCTTTCACCCAACTACAATCATTTGGACAACCATTGCCCAGCTATAGTCTTTTCGACCTTCATCGCCTAATTATGTTCGTTCTGACCTTGGTCGTTGGAATACAATTATTTAGACCACAATTGCCCAACTATGATCTTGTGACGACCATTGCCCAACTATGATCCCCTAACCTACAATCTCCTACCAGTGTTGTTTGGCTACCACAACACCAACTAACTTCATCATCTACCCTCACTAATAATCCCAACATACCGTCAATTATAAGATTTTTTCAAACCGCTAACATAAACTCTTATTCTCAAATTCAATTTATGTTAAATTCCTACCAAATGGCTCATATAACTTCAACAAACTAATGTGTTCTTTATAATATATCAAAATTTTACCTAGAAAGGGCTTCACTTGTTATCTAATACAAATATTATTTAATTCATTTTAATTTAGCCAAGCCTCATGATTTTTTCCTTTCCTGAATTTTTCAAATAAAAATTCTTATCAATTATAATTCTTTCACACCTCTTTTATTTGTGTGTCGCATCTTTATACAAAATTAGAACATTAAACTTTATATTTTTTTACCGCTAAAAATATTCTAACACGCAATAAACTATATTTATGTCAGATAAGTTTTTAGTTGACCCCATCTCAGAATCATTAACCGAATCAAAGGCGTGAAGCTTGCAATCCCCTTTCTTCTCTGTTCAGGTGCAGCTCTAAGACCACAATGTACACAAAATTACCCTATTTGATATTATAAAAATACCCTATTTGAAATACTCATAAGATAGTAACAAAACAACAAGGAACACAAACCGTTCACAACAAATAGGTTCTTTCCCCGGAACTATCCAGCTTTGTCCTTTTATGCTGCACGCATCGTTCATTCCTAACAATCGACTATCACCACCAGTAGCTTTTGTGAAACTACTCGTTTTCTTTTTCTTTTTTCGTTTTTTTTTTTTTAATTTCGTTTTGTTGGATTTTATATTTGCTACTTTTTATGAATAACTTAATAAATATGAGCAACAATATATTTTTAACTGGAAAAAAAACTGCTTGTTGCTCAATGGGAAATAATAAGCGGATTCACTGTCATCATTATCAGGTGACGTGAACTAATTTTTAGATAACTATTTAGCTTTTCTACCTTCAATCAGAAATAGTTTAAATTTTGATGATGATCACTGGAATTAACTGTACAGTGGTTACCATGAGCTGCGTTCTATAAATTTAAATAACCTTAACGCTGTGTGCGCCATGTTTTCTTCAATTAGGTCGCAAGACGCCGAACGCAAACAGGTTATAAAGTCTTTTCTGGCCTCGGCTTTAGGGAACCACAACAGAATAGTTTAATGATGCAGGCGTCAAATCAAATTCTCTCAAGGCTAGGAAATATTGGTGGCAATGAAGCAAACAAAGAAAATATGGAACTAAATGAGGAAATAATATGATTATGTGGGATTGCATGTCCTTCTGAGAATGTCCAATGAAAACTTTCATGGCTCTTAAACTTATGTCATCAAGAGATGAAATTTTAGAGAAAAAAAAAAAAGAATCTACTCTTCTGGTAATGAGTGGAAAGATATTGGGCTCAGTTGAGATTTTCATGCATGACTGAATTGTTTCTCAACAAAAATTATATGGATATCATCTAATTTAATTGATAAGAAATCTCTTAGATGTTCTTATCAAGATTTTGAGATTAAATTTGTAGTTCAGCACTCAACATTCCCAAAAAAAAGTATAATATTGCTTATTTATTGTTGAGGTAAACTATATATCACGAAAAACAAATAAATAAGGAAAATAAAAAAACGGAAACATTATTCTTAAAAAAAAAAAATGCTAAGCAAGTTATGGAAGAACTTCAAGGCTTTAAGAAAAAGCAAAACTTCACCTTGTTCTTCTTATCATATAATCCACTATGAATATTAGCTCAAAGAAATGCTAAGACAGTTCTGAAAAATGTTAAAAAAGGCATAAGAAAGCGTACTACGCTACCTTGTTCACCTCTTCATCAAATAATCAACGGTCAATTTTCGTTGCAAAGAACAAATATACGCATACATCAAATTTTCTATAAATTATACTCATCAAGAAGAGAAACTGCATATCATGCTGCAAAAGGATGTCCAGAATTGAAAACTCAAGCGTGTGTATAACAGGTATCCAACTAAACTCATTTCACTGGCCTACACACAATCAACAGGAAGTTTCAATAAAACTTTGATTAACTAAAAGGCAGCATATAAAAGCAGAGTTTGTCCTAAACAAGAGTGTAATAGTCAACTACCCCAAACCTGCCATTTGAGCCATTCAAATCTACACAAAAATCAAACATGTTCATTAAAAAAGGTTTTACAAAATAGATAGCAAACATCTTTTGCACGATAATCTCCATATCATAGCCTAAAACAACATCCATAATACTATATTTGTAGTTGATCCCCTTAATATATGTAGATTAAGATAACATTCAGGACGATATGCGTATAAAAGTTTATAAAACTGTAACAGGTAAATAGATGTCCAAAGTTCAGGAATACAAACATTCCTAATCATTTAGTTTGTCTAAAAAGTCACGCAATTAACTTTTTAACCTTATTTAGTAAGCTCTTGATGTCATTAATTAAATCTTTCGTGACCTCTGGCTTCAAATCATGAGTAGTAGTACCTTTCATTGGTGAAAGTGTATGTATCATCCTTTGAAGGTCTCGACTTATGAATAAAAGTGATGCATTGGAATCAGATGGAGATGGTGAAGGACTCTCTGAACATTGAGGCAAATCAAATGATTGACAATCAACAATCAAAAAGGGGAAATTCTTACTCTTTCTTATACCATTCAAAGCCTTCTTTGCATCGCGTGCCCTTGCAAAAACAACTCTTGCACAACCAGTATCCCTGAACAACTCTGTCTCATGCTTTATCAAGAACCCATATTTGACAAACACCGAAATGAGCTCATCTTTCGAAGGAAGTGTGCTTCCAGGAGAAAATGTCAAAAGTAGAGATACTGAATTTTCATTATTATCGTCTGTATGTTTTGTTCTCTTTGACTTGAAGAGGCTTTTCCTTGGGTTATCGATCCTTATCTGATCAGAACTAGTCTTGGACTCACCATTGGTAAAATCATCATTGCTCTTTCGTTTATGACTGGAACTGATAAAATGTTCATTTCCTGTTTGTCTTGTTTTCCTATCATTAACGATACCCCTAGTTTTACTTTGCTTCTCTTCTATTTTATCTTCCACTAAACTATTGACAGTTATATGACCTAATTTTTCCACAGTATCACTAAGAATTTCATCAGAACCTCTCTTCCCTCTATACCTTGATCTACCTGTTAAAGCATCCACCCCATTCAGACAATAACTTTTTATACTTTCTGTTGTAGCTTGATCTCTCTTCCCTTTTCTTCTATTCACATGTTTTCCCAAAGCATTTTCTGGATTAGATTCATCCTTGTGGTCATTTCTCTTTTTTCCAGATGAAACTTCATTGGACTCCATCTCATGCAGTGCAAGCTTTCCAAAAGTGCCTGAATCATCTCGCTGCTCAGGTAGACTTTCAAGCTCTAAAATGCCAGAGTATACCAAGCTTCTGTGCTTCACAAAGAATTCCATCACTGACTCCAATGGGAAATTCCTTCCCAAAAGAAGAGGATTTATTGCCGCAAAGAGAAGTTTTCTGAATAATTCAAGTGCAGAAGCCTCATTATAGTTAGATAAATGAGTCATCCGATCACCTTCCTTTGTGGAAGCCTCATGGCCACTACTGTAAGTGGGATATTTAACATGAAAATGCTGAGAAGATTCAGAATCACTCTCCGACACATCAGAATCTGCCAACTTGAATGAATTTGAGCGCTCTGTATACCCAGTAGTGTATGGGGGTGATAAATATTTGCTCTTCTTTCGCTCCCGTCTTGTAGAGCCATTCTCCTCTTCATGCATAGCATTAGTTACCTTAGCAACAGGGACCTTGTTTTTTTCCTTTTCCCGCTTCTTCTTCTTCTTCTTCTTCTTCTGGTTAATCAATAAACCCAGATTTGTAAGGCCTTTTGACTCATTCTCAACTATTCCAAGTTTGTCCTCCTCTGCCCCACCATGTAGCAATGCCTCAGGATCAGCCATCAGAATGAGTTCAGCCATACTTCTCTTCTTCCTGGAGGCTTCATCCCCAGAAATCTGCGGTCCTTTAACCACCCTTCCGGTAGTTATTTGGAACTCTAGTCCACGTTTATCCTTGTAAGAATTTTCAGGTATGGCATTGAGATCAGTTTGTTTTTCATCGAACAAATCCTCAATCATTTTAATAAAGCATCCATTTCTAAGATAGAATGAAGCAGCCCAACTCCTCAACATGATAACATCAAGCATATTGGCTACTGAAACATCTTGAGCAACATCTTGAAGGTGATCAAGGAATGCAGCAGGAGAATAATTAGCAATAGAAGCTTCCCCATTACGATTATGCCTACTGATCCTAAATCGATCAACTTTCTCAGGCGGCACACAATAACAAGTCATATCTGACCTTAAACATTTTTCTATCTCGTGCATAGCATCATTAATGGCACCAATAAAGCTCTGAGAACTATTCTGAAAAACTATATGTTCAAACTCCTCTTTGAAGGGTTTCAATTCGGAAGGCTCACACCAAGCAAAGGTAATATCACCAAAGTACACGACTAGAACATGGTGATCAAGATGTTCTAAATTCCTGGCTTCCTGTGATGCATCTGATGGGTTGCAGACCTGCCCAGGCCACCACAAGTGTCCATGGATCTTCCCCCACACAAAATCCCCAATATGAAATTCATCACTTGCTCTACCTCTGAATTATCATACAAACCGAATTCAAATTGGGAAGAGCAGGATATTAAGCAGATTATGAACATTGATCACTCCAAAAATGATGGAACAAGAAGTGATAAATCTTAAATTCCAAACAGCCGATCAAAAACACAGTTCAACAGTTCAAGAAGACTAGCAGGTAATACACAGATTGAAAAACTAATCCTATATTATCCAGGAATTATTACCCCATCATAAATGGTTAAAGTGAAAGATATTAACTTTATTTGTTTCTTTCATTTCCTAAGACTTTTATTTCAATTTTGTTATCTTCCCTGATCCGAAATTTAAACGCTTGAAAATAACATAAGCAAGAAAGGGAAAAAAAATATCTCTTTTAAAATTATAATTTGCAAAAGTAGTAGAAAGCAGAGCTTCTTAAAAAGCAATAGACATCAACCGAGCTGCTTAGCTTTTAGCGATAGGATAATTAGAACTCAAAGCTCATCAGTAAATACACCAAACCCTAGATTAAATTAAACAGAAAAGAAGTACCAAGCAGCTATGTAAAAAGCCAAGAATTAGATTCCGCGAACTCACCCCATCTGTGTACCGTCACCTTGCATCTGTCAAAGCTCGGGAGAGCAGAAAATTTTTTTTTTTTTTTCGGGCAGCGAGTATCGAAAGACGAAACCTTGCACAGTGTCTTAATTTATTTATTTTTTATTTTCTGTATTGGGATTTAAGACTAATCTACGACCGTTCGGCTGCCAGAACACCTGGCTGTGATCAGATGGGTATTTAGGTAATTTTAGAGATTTTCTAGGGATTATATTCGCCGATAATCATCCGCGTTAAGCTCTACACCGATAAACTGCTCTTTGTTTCATGGGTGGATTTAACCTGATTTAGGCGGTTTTTTTAGTTTAAAGACGTATTAAGATGAAAAAGGATTTAGATTTGCAAATAATATTTTAAAATTATTTTCTTAATTTTTTCAACTCTAACTAAAATAATGAAATACCTGAAATATAACAAAAAAAATGCAGATTTTAATTTTATACGTGTGAAAAATTAATAAAATATGCTGGGACAAACTTTTAAAAGAATAATTTTGATAAAAGGAATTAAAAAAACTGGCCAGCCCAACAAGACCTGCTAGCCGCAACCAAAAATGTTATTAAAAAAATATATAATATTAATATAATTTATTTATTTATTTAAATATTAAAAATATTTATATAATTATTAAAAATATTTATATAATTTATAATTTTTAAATATGAGAAAACTAGGAGTTATAAATAATTGATATATCATAAAAAAAATTATCTTGATCAGGAATGAATGTCGAGGCAAAATCAAGTTAAGAGCTTCCAAAATTAAATTCAAAGCCATATGAATTCCGATCACAACAAATTTATAGTCGAGTTGAATGTCATGAAAAGACGAACCTAACGACACAAAATTTTGCTCAATCCGAGCCCAAATGCGACCAAGTCAAATACCTTAAGCATATTTGAAAGGTTCAAACAAAAAATTGGATGACCAAATGGTTTCCAAATGTTACATGCTTATAGTTGATTCGAGCGGCTCGGCGAGAAGAATCCAAAGAGCCTAAGATCTCCAAATTTTGATATCAATAAAGCACTCAAATTCTTAATAAATGGTGTATGATCAAAGGAATCAATATCGATCGTCTATTCAAACTACTCCCAACTTACCCTTTATGGTCATTCTATTTACTGGTCATGACACTCTCAGAAAATTATAAATGGATCCCTCATTCCTCATAGAAAAAAGTGAGGGGTAGGGGATGAGGGAAGATAACGAAGAGAGAGATAAATTAAAGCCCTCTTACAACTAGACTCCACTTCGAGCACCATCAGACCACCGACCATCATCGGACTATTGTCATACTTTGGCCCAGTTACCAACTAACATCGAACTTCTATCCTGCCACCAACTGACGTTGGACTTCCAACCAGCTTTCAATTATTGTTGGACTTACACCTGGCTGCCAACTGACAATAGAGTTACTGACAAACGTCTAACTTCCATGTAGCCCATCGACTATGATCTTTCTGACTTCTGTCACCAATTAATGATCTTTTTTACCAATGTCTCCCGCTAAATACGGTCCTTCTGACCTCTGTCACCATAAAATAATCTTTATGACCACTCTCGCATGCAGATTATGCTCCTTCCAACATCCATCGCCATAAAATAGTCTTTATGACCACTATCGCCTATGGTCTGCTATCCTTCCGACCTCCGTCGCCATATAACAATTCTTCCGACCTCCATTGCTAAACTACGGTCCTTACGACCTCCATCGTCATACAACGATCTTTTTTATCACTATCGCACACCGACTATGCTCCTTTTGCTCTTTTTTGCTTGATAATAGTCTATCTTATCACTGTAACCCACCAACTACGGTCCTTCTGACCTCCATATCAAGAAAATGATCTTTCTGACCACTGTTCCTTGCCGACTATAGTCCTTCTAATCATTGTCGCCTGACCATTACGATCCTTCCAACCTTCATTGCTAGACAACAGTCTTTATGACCACTATCACTTACAAACTACGGTCTTTCTGATCTCAATTGCCCTTCAACTACGTTCCTTCCAACCTTCGTCGCTAGACTATTATCTTTCGACCTTAGTTGGTAGATAAAAGTCTTTGTGAGCTTCATCAAATGCTAATTATGGTCCTTCTGATCTCTATCGCCTAACAGACGTCCGTCAACTACGGTCTATTTAATCTCCGTCGTCCGCCAATTATGGTCCTACCAACTAAACTAACATGTCAATACATATTCTTTCAATTCCCACCATGTATTACACTTTATATGATGTATATTTGTTATATCAAACCAAGGCCTTCCCCTAAAGAAGGTTTTCATTTGTAATAGACTGTAAACACTAGTGGATTCATTTAAACAGGGCCACACCCTATGATTTGTCCCCTTTTTCAGGAGTTTCCACGTAAAAACTCTTGTATCTTTTATGAACGGTACACCCTTTCTTATTATTTGATTGTGTGTTGGATCTTCGTACAAAACTAAGACGATAAACTTTATATTTTGTAATAGCAAATATATAATATATATTTTAATTTATGTAATTATATAATAAATTAAGTAAAATTGTTTTTGAGATATTAATTGATATCAAATATATTTTATGAAGTAATTAAATTTTCTTATTTTACAAATTATAAATTTGTAATGCAAGTCTGAAGTTCTTTTATTATGACTTTTGTAACTATGAGGAATCTAATGGATATAACTATAAGAGGAATAAACTTTTAAATTATTATGATTAAATGAAAATTTTAAAACATTATGAATTGCTCATATATTAAGTCATGAAGCATTTAGTACTAGCAGCAACATTAGATTCCCATTTCACTGTTGTATGCTTGAGACATGAAAGGCCCACATTTGACTGACTTAACAATATTATACATTGAAATATGTTATAATTGTACATGTTTTCAAATTCATACACATATGTTGGCCCTAAAAAAACATCATTTTTCTCTTATATGCCTCTAATATAAGGTAGTTAATTTAAGCACAAAAAAAATGAGTTATTAGGTACTAGTAATTTTTTGGTTTCATTAAATCATTTTAAAAGTAAACCAATTATTTTGTAATATATAGTGCATACTAATATTTGAATAAGTAGTGCATCTGCTCACCTAAGGATGCTTGTCAGGAGATGTGCAAAGGTCTTAATGAAAGTGAATGATTTTATTGAAGTTGTGAAATATTACATAGGAACCATAACCACGATTCATTATAGATGTGCATTAATGGTTTCCTAATTACATTATTAAACTACTGCATGTGTATATTATTTTTTGTAGCATACAAATGCAACCATAGGAATGTGATGGAAGATAATGTTGTATACATATTATTGTCCATTTATATTCATTTGATGACACTTCCAATATTTGAAATTATTATGAATAGGCCATACATTAATTAGTTTTTTTTTTTTATGTATGACTTATTTTAAAAATATGTACCACAATAGAGTTCATAAGGGATTAAATCATATTTAAGAATTGTATATTGATTTATTATAACTTGAAACTTAATATCCACATTCCATTCTTGAATGTTTCAATAGGATTGGATAAGGTTATTAATAACAATCATTTGAATTGACAAGTTCACCATAATGAATAGCCTATACTAATTATATTTTATAATTATCTAATGATTTATTAATCCATCAAAGATAATATATACATTCTATTCATGAATATTTTAATAGGGCTGGGAAAAGTTTTTATTAAGCATCAGTTGATTTGGCATATTCACCATGATGAATGCCCTATTATGGAGTATCTCATGACCTAGTACTTCAATCACTTCATCAATTTATTCATTAAGATCTCGCTAATTTTTTTCTATCTTCAAACTTTTAGTTTACAATAGTACATTCAATATTGTATGCATCATCATCACCTTAAGTCAGACCTTCTTCAGTTGGTTCATACCTTAATTTCAGCTTAGGTTCATACCTTAATTTCATCTTAGGTTTCTAAAATTAAATCAGTTAGTTCATGTACACTTGAAGTGCTCAGTTCAAATTAATGAGGTAATAAGCTACTAGTCTTGCAAGCAGGGTGGTTGCTTCCTTCTTAAGTTTAATTGATGAATAATTAAGAATCTTCATATAATTGATATGTTATACACAAAAAAAACATATATTAATGCTTGTGTGGTTGCTATCATAATGAATGTCTACGTGATGAACTTATAATATGTTTCTATCATTCTACTATTATTATCCTCGATAGGTTCAATCCTAAAATTAATATAGAAAAAGTCGGGTTCAATAGGGCTCCAAAGGTAAGACCTCAAATGTGACATCATCATCGACATGTATGGCAAAAAAATTGTTGCTTAATAGGTACCAACATATCAAATGTATTTCATTCCTACTTTTTAATATATAATTGGCACATGATGATCTACTTTAGTTCATTATATTTGGTTGTAATGGAAACCTAAATTATTTTAATTCTACCTTTGATGTACATTAGTTCAAATTCATTTAATATATGAGTTCACCTTTTATAATTACATTAGCTTGACATTCTTTGCTATTTTGTTCTAAATTAAATAAGTTGGTTTGAGATTAAGGATGGCTTTCACAAAACTTCACTAGGAATTCCCCAAGTATACCTTTGTCCCTTAGACAGAAATTAAAAAAAAATCAAGCCTCACTATTAGCCTATATATTTTCTTGCATCATTACATGCCATTTTAAATCCTAACACATCATTTTCAAACCATAAGCATGTATTAATTAGCATTAACATCAAAAAGACCTCACCAATCCATAGATTGCTTCACTATCATAATAACTAACACTATACAGTCTCTTGCACCAAAGTTGCTGGGTGATTCGAGATGATGTTGGGTACCCCCACCCAATCATTCTCTTACATCAAAAGTAACATGAGGTATAATGGATATGACACTCCCATATCTTTAAATGTTCATCATGAAAATGATACATGATGCTAATTTAAATCATAATAATATCATTTTTAATATGTAAATATGTATTAATTTTCATTGAAATTATGTAGAGCTTATTAATCATCTTTGGATTTCTTCATTGCCATAAGAATTAACCATTAAATTCTCTTATGCTAATAGTGATAGTGATTGGAAATGATGCCAAAAGGGCCTCTCTACCATCATCCCCTTGTACGAAA